TGTTACAGGCGTATGATCAGAATACCGCCGGTAGGGAGAGTTAGAAATAAAGAGGTATTATAAAAAGAATAAGTGAACAGAGGACTCTTTGGAAATCAATAAGGAATAGTAGATATAGGTTGGTAGGACAACTTTTCAGGCATGAAGGTCTAGTCAGACATATTAGAGGCAGAAACAAGAGTTGGAAGGGGTAGAGGTAGACCTACATTAGATTATTGTTCGCAAATAGTCAAGGATGTGGGATGTTCTACTTTTAGGAAAATGCGAAGATTAGTGGAGTCTTAAGACTGACAACCTTATGATGATGAGCGATTGTGTCTGTTTGGTATATACACTCTGAAACAGCATTTCCCACAAAATTTTCTAATTTTTCATCTGTCTAGTTGAATGGTTGCAATGCTTGAACAGATTAGAGTTCATGTTCGTAAAGAGTTCACGTATTGCACCCAACTTATCCGAATTTAGCCTTAGACCTGAAGTGTTTTTGTTATCAAGACGAATGTGTCTCATGCGAAACTAAAATTTCTTCTGCGATGTTGTAAGTGTGTAAATTGTAATTAACATTATATTTGATCAGAAAAAGACTCTCATATTCTGGTGATTACTTTTGTGGGCTCCACACATAAAGAGAAATTGATCGAAAAGACGTTATACCTTTAACCAATCTTTTTCGAAAATTAGAGTACTAAGTAGTGTCTAAAAAGTGTTATACATTAATGACTTGAAAGAAAAATAAAACAAGAAGCAAGCATACCACCGACATGCAAGCAGACGTTAACGTCGGTCTCACGCCGTTGAGCCACATAACTTGTAAATTACAATAAACACAAAAAAAAACAAGACTGACAGGGGTGAGTGTGGCAAAAACCATCATAGCACCCCCCACCAGTGGTTAGTTCACAGAAGAACAAACCCTTCCACCTGAACGCGTTTGCAGTGGTCGTGGTTTGTTGACCTACAATATTGTTCGGGGCTGGCTCTTCTGTTGTTAGACCGGCTGCTATTGTTTGTGTAGGTAAAATTACACCCACGGATCTCTTCGTAGATAGCAAGAAGCTCACGGTCATAGACGACGTATTTACGTTCGGCGGCACTGAGCTATCGGGAGAAGAAAGCAAGCGGTTTGCAGTCGTTATTGCTATGTTATTCTGTTGTAAAACGGTCCCTACAGTGGTGTCGAATGCGTCGGTAAAGAAGGCGTTGCTGTATTGATACGGAGGTGTGCCAATAAAGTTGCATTTTCCAGGGCAATTTTACAATCGCTGAAGGCAGCCGTTGTCTCTGGTGTCGACGTAACCGGCATCTTACCCCTGACATTGTTACACAGCTGGTCATTTAACAGCAGCCTTAGGTATGAACCCACAATAAAAGTTTAACATGAACTGTTGCAGCTGTTTTATGGTTTGCGGAGTTAGATAATTGCGGATAATGTTGACCTTTTTTGGGAGTGGTTGATTACCTCTTGTAAGCGTTTAAAGAGTATTTCCAGGTGCTGCAGGCGTTCTTGTGTAGACGACGAGGCAACTGGGATATCATCGATGTACGCGTAACAAGAGACTAAGTCGCGCAGGACTTTATCGATGAAACGCTAGAACATCTGCGCCGCGTTTCGAAGACCAACCTTCGTATGCACGGCCAAAACAACCTTTGAGTTTAATTCTTATTTATTTTACAGATTTAACAGCAGTACCCCAGCCGTTCAGTAGGTAAAAGTAAACCAATTCTATTGTTTAATTTTAAACATTAACTAACCTTTCTTTGGGAGTGAGTACGCAATGTCCCTCTGAATTTACACACCACCACATAACGTAATCCAACCTAACTTTCTTCTCTTTACCGTATATCAGCACGACTAAAACAAGAGTACATTCACTCCAGTGCGTTAGCCATTCTAGCAATGGCTACCCCCAATAGCATCCCACTTTTGGAGGGACCTTTCATTAGGGAAGCCTTAACCCTAGCGAGCGAGCTGCAGTCCAAGCTCGCTACGTTAAACGACTTCATCCGTCGTCACTCACAGGATTCTCCAGGTCATAATTGCCGCCCTCTAAACACCCACCTATGGATAAAAACGCTCACCCAAATAATCTTCGGGTAATTACCTGGAATGCTCATAGCAGTAGAGGTAAATTGACTGAACTCGAACACTTCCTCGAGGAACAGTCAATCGGTGTTGCCTGCATCACCGAAATCGAAACTCACTTATTGTAGAAAGTCAAACTTTTCGTACCAAACTTCACATCCTATAGAAGGGACAACGAAAACCCCCGAGGCGGTGGTGTATCCATCATCGTTAGGAACTCTTTACAACACAGGCCCATCTCTTTAGCTACTAATTCATTAGAAGCAGTTGACATTGAAGTCTCTCTAACATGCGGCACTGACTGGCTGCAGCTCCACTACACTCTCGAACCATCCTCCTTCAAGTGCACTTCACTTCGCACAATAGCGGAACTCGATAAAGCTGTCAATCCACTTTTAAACGACATCACCAGCGTCATCTAACCCTTCACAACCTCCCTAGAGAAACACCTCCCGCAGACATTCTGGCCGTCGTCAAATGGAAAAACAAAACCCGCCGTTTGTGGCAAAAACACCGTGCTCCCGCACACCGTGCCGAGCTAAACGCCCTCCATCGAGAACTTTAAACTTGCCTAACAGAATTCCATAGCGTCACCTTCTGCGATTATCACGCTCAGGCCGAAACACATCCCAAAAGCAGTTCGAAAGTGATGCGCTCTCTTAGAAACGAAACCCTACACCTCCGGCCGTTTAAAAGCTGCAATCTTCACAGACTCCCTCTGTCTCCAGTGCTCCCCACTTCCCGCCCTGTTGATCTTATCGACTTTCAGGAGCATATTAACGTCGCCTCCCAAAACGTCGTCCAAACTGTTTCCGACTTTAAACAGACATCCCCCCTCGCCATCCGATCTCTTAAAAAGAGAAAATCCCCCGGCGCGGACGGAATTCCCAATGGTGTCCTAAAAGTTCTGCGATTAACAGATAACCATATCCTGCGACATCACAAACGCTACCATGCGGCTCCACCTTTTCCCTCAGACCTGGGAAGAAGCCACTGTCATCTATCCTCCCAAAAGAGGGAACCCCCTCGGCTCTCTTTCAAGCTACAGGCCTATTAGCCTGCTCAGTTGGCTGTGCAAAGCAGTTGAGTCCATCCTTTTGAACCGGCTTCTCGACCACGTGGAACGAAACAACCTACTTCCCGACTTTCAACACGGCTTCCGCAGACAGCACGGCACCAGTCATCACCTTCTCCGTGTTTCCGAACACATTTCTGACAACCTAAATAAGCGCCTTCACACTTCCATGCTTCTGCTCGACATTCAGCAAGCCTTCGATCGAGTTTGACACGAAGGTTTCATCACTAAACTTATCGCCCTCAACACCCCACATTTCCTAATCGGTTTTATCCGTTCCTTCCTCTCTGACGGAACCCTCCGTGTCCACGTTGGCTCTGCTTTATTCCCAAGCAAACCCGTCACTGCTGGTGTTCCTCAAGGCTCCAAGTTGTCACCTCTTATGTTCTACTTTTTCTGCGCAGACATGCTGTCCTATCCCACGATCGTCATAGCTGTCTGTGCCGATGACATCACCCTCATAACCTTCGCCCGAATCATTCACAAGTGCTTCGCAGGAATTAATAAGTTTCTACCTCTGCTACTAAATTGGTACCGAAGATGGAAATTCTCAATTTAGGGGGCGAAGTCGGAAGTAATGTTTTTCTCTCATAGGATCCAAAAACCTCCCGCCATCACCGTTAACAACGATCGCATCAAATGGAGCAACTCCGTCAGTTACCTCGGCGTCGTCTTTGATAGAACACTGACATGGCGAAAGTACATCCTAGCCACCCATGCCAAGACCCCAGGCGCCTTTATCTCCCTCATACCCTGCTTCATTAACAGCTCCATCTCCGATGCTGTGTTTTCTTCCGGGCATTTTGGCCGTGGTCCGTGGAATCTTGCTTTTTCAGACGTTTCGCCGTTCTTTGCTGATGGAATCTTCAGTAGTGACTAAGCAGGTGTTGAGTCGTAACTGATGACGTTCCCAGTCACCACTGAAGATGCCGTCAGCAAAGAACGGCGAAACGTCTTCAAAACCAATATTCCACGGACCACGGCCAAAAAGTTCGGTAGAAAACACAGCATCGATAGACGCCGACCGTGAAAGCCTAAGAACTACAGCTCCATCTCCCATCAAATAAAAATCGGTGCGTTCAATGCAATTATCAGAAGCATTTTCTCCTACGCCTACAAATTCTTTAAGGCACTTATATGCGGATTCTCCATTCCGCACTCAACTATCCGTGGTTCATCACAAACACCCAAATTTTGAAAGAAACTGGTCTACCTTCAGTTCCCTAGACTGCAGTCATGCTGTTCGCAGCTTATATCCAGGCCTAAATTTTGTTAATTGTTTAATAAGTGTTTTGTTGTTGTTTTTATTAGTAATTATTTAAAAGACACTAAACACATATTTGTATACCTACATATGAAATTTATAAATTTATAACATTTTTGATTGTTTTTTATCTCTTTATTTATTTTTAATACGATTTTTATCAANATATAATGAATCCATAATGATAAAAGTAGCCGAACAGATACTACAACCAACATGCCCTTTTCATTTCATTGGAGTAAATTATGCCAGTCTCGTTTTAATAAGAAAGAGCTAGTCAAGATGTAAAAGTATCGAAATGTTTTATTGTATTGTTCTTAAAAAAATGAAACCTTTCCTCAGGTGACTAAAATTTAAAACGATGGTAAAATATGTCAATAATAATCTAATTACTGCCTACAAGACTATGGTGAATACTAATTTTTATACTCCCTCTAACTGCACCTTTAGCCGGTTCAACTGCAGCATGACAACAAAATCAGCATTATCGTTATTTAGATAATGTCAAGTGTTTCTTAATTAAACGAGTACTATCAAATTAATCAATCTTCATATTTAGGACATAAATACATTGAAGATCCAATTCTCAATAGTTATTCTGCCGAAAATGTCTACTAAATACCTAGTAGCGACTTTGGCTTTACTGCTTCTTCATAGTTCATCGGGTAAGCTATTTAAATATGCTATTATGGCGAGAATGTCAATTTTTAAGGTCAGAATTTGAGCAAACAAATTGTATGAGAATCTTATTTCCGATGTGAGCTTGTTGCATTTAAGCTGAGTCGCCATACTGCTTGACAACCTTAGTCGTGTATTTGTTCATTTATTATTTTGCAATGTATGAAACCCAGTTACATAGTCACTACGATTTCGTTTATTACTGTTGTAAATATGAGATGAGATGAAGGTGTTTCAAATTACAAAACATTTCGGTTTAAATAAAGGTAGCTAGTTACGTATAGTCGCTTAAGTTAAATTTGGCTAGTTTTGGATTATAAGGTCGAAATTGTAAATCTTAGTTTATTTATTACTAGCACAATTAATCTACTAACCTATAGGGGAGAGAGGGGCATAATGGGGACGTTACGAAAATACACAGTAAAATAATAAACGCAATGTATTTATTAATTAAAATTAATCACAACTCTTTGGTTACTTATTAATCATCATTTGACATAAAATTTAGTGACATAAATAATCATATGACTATATAATTTTAATTTTTTTAAACTATAATAAAAACCCCATCGTGCCCCAGGGTAGGGGTAGTATGGGGTACCTATTTATTTTGCGTCACAGTAGAAGCAGATGTGGATTTCTTCTGTATTGGCGTCGTCTGCACCGCCACAAGCTGTATGAGTAAGTAATTTATCAGCAAAAACAAAATAAATATATGATAATAGCGACATCAACACTTACCTTTTTATAAGCGTATTCATAGTCACTCAAAATTACATAAAATTTTTTTTTTGCAAATCAAACGCGCGCAGTGTAGCCGCCGATCACTGTCAAACTAAAGATAGATACAATATGGCTACCTATTAGCGAAAACAAAACACATCTAGAGCGTGTAGTTTTTTATAAGTATGGGTGGACCCGTCGTGCCTCGCGTCCCCGTCATGCTCCCCTCTCTCCTATGTCTACCACAAGGAAGAGAAAGGTACGTTTATCTTGCTCTTCCCCTAATTGCAGGTAACGAACATTGCGGTAATTTATCTCTTTTATTACTATTGTTGCAGTTTTAATTTTATATTTTATTTCTATCGCTCAGTATTATTCACTAACTTTGAATATAATTTAGTTTATAACATTAAAGGAATACCTACATACAAAATTACAAGAAATAGTTTTATAGAATGTCATCCAAATAGTGCCCCTCATATAATTACAATGTCAGCATAACTACAATGGATAGGGTCAATATAAGCGGTCGCACTCGCCCTCATTTAATTTTATGACATTCTGTCCATATTTCGCAGGTTCTGGGAATTCAATTGCTTAAGGCAGGGTATTGTCCGGTTGGGTTTTTGTCCATACTTGTTTCTGCGAACTCTTTGTCGCATAATTTTAGGTTAGGTTTTGTCCTTCAACTTATCCGATTACGTTTTTGTTACTTCATTATACATTAGTTATTATCCGTTCATTTTTAAAAGTTAGTAAATTGTTGTAAATAAAGTTTTTGGACATAGTGTTTATATTGAAGTTTTATTCACTACTGCAAAAACCGTTGAGAAAACACTGGTCGTGAAGTCACGGCAACCAACTATACTATCAATTTTTTCGTGAATCTTGAATAAATTACAGTGGAGTTGATAAGTTTTACTGATATCTAATACGATTTTTAAGCAAATCAACAAAGTTACTTCTTTTCATTGAATATTTAAGTAACATAATTACAATATACATGCCGAAAATGTCAAACGTTAGAGTACAATAAATGAAGATTTTGAAAGTTATTCATAGAAAAAAATATAAACAATATAAAGAAAATGTAGGAGTTTACTACTCAACTTCTTCAGAATCCCTTGAATCGTCGTTAGTTTCTATTATAAAGGGTTCATATTCAAACAGAATTACTTTTTTTATAAACTTTTAATTAGATTAATAGTGTTTACTTTTATTCACCTTATTAAAAATCATATCAAATATGTAAAATGTGCAAAACTTGTCAACACCACTGTAATTTATTCAAGATTGATGAAGCAATTACTGATATAGTAATAAAAAAGATATCAAACTCTACAGCTATTTAAATAGAGAGAAAGACGCACGCACATTAACAGTGTCCGATATCTGCCACTAGCCGGGAAAGATGAGTGCATCTTTCTCTTCCTTATGGTAGGTAAACGGATTAGTAAATTTATTGTTCCATCAGTAAATAATAAAGTAAAAGGTTTACGATTTTAACGTTGTAATCCAAAACCGGCAAAATTACACTCAAGGGACTATAGATACGAAAATTATTCTTAATCTTGGTCTATATGTAAATTAATTGATTTTCGTTATGACAGTCAGAACTAAACAAATCGACTGTGATTTCCATTCGGTAGTTTATGAACTATAAAAGGTTTTTCTACTTTTTCTTAATAATGTTGCATTTAACTGAATCAATCCATTGCCAAGGTCAAGAATGCAACAAACAATCGTTCCAACGCCTATGTGTCACCGACGGCGATGATGTAGTACTCGAAAACGAAAGGCTATCAATGACTATTAAAAAAGCAGAGGGTCAGATCACTGCACTTTATTATAATTCTCGTGTTGATACTAATATAAAATCAACCAACCTACTGAGAGGCGGTTCTGGCTATTACATTGCCGTTATTAGTGTTGACGGCAAGGGATTGACAACCGGGCCTGATGTGGGAGAAATGAAAATTACACGAAATGTGAGTACCGCCACTGAAATGTAAGATACAAAGCTTTACAGAATGTTAAATGATCGAAAATATATTTTACTTTCTGTAGCGATATGCCCCTTCCAATGTCTTGGATGCGCGCTGGCAAAATCGTAGGTAGGGAGAAAAAAGCTTATTATACTCTCGACTCTTGTTCATTAAACATACTTTTTCATACAGTACCTGCCAAAAGTTTTATTCAATTATGAATAGTAGTACGAGTCGAATATAAGCGTTAAAGCCTTTTTTCTGGCCTAGTGTTGTTCTTTTTTACTTTGCGCCGGTCAAACTGAAGGTCACATCGCTACAGAAAGTAAACGAAGTATACCTTTTTCTAACAATCTCTCAATTTAGGTTAAAGTTTTGTAGGATTTTTGTAATTAATAAATGAATATGTACACAGTTTACAAACGTCCTTCTACCCCGACTTCTTAATCGACTCTAGCTTTCCTTGCCGAAAAGGGCCCTTGCTTCTTTCACCCTTTGCTGCAACAAAGGGACCAACGGCTTATCTACTACATTCCCTTTCTTTCATACTTAACTCCTACGACTATACTTACTATTCCTAAATGTAAACTAAGAAATTACTATACCGAGTGTTCTTAAGATATTCCCGATACTGCAGCTTATGGTAATTTTCTGAATTTGAGAATGTGAAGTTTGTAGTTCTTAAATCGATGATTTAACTTTCCACATAATGAGATACAGGCGGTCCTTGTACTTACGGCATGTTAGGTTCTCGAAATACGCGACGTAAATCGAAACGATGTAAGTCGAAACATATTTTTTCATATGTTTACATGTAAAACTCAAGGATTAGGATCCACACGGACTCAAAATTAAAAAAAAAAACTGCATTTATAACAAAGGATATACGTACATACTTTATTATCAAAAGTAAGTTCTTAAAATAATTATATATGTACTTATGAAATTGCTAGTTATTTTTGGTATTTGTGTTATTAATTTTAATAATAATGATAAAACTTTAATAATCAAAATATGTAATGAGAAATAATAAATTAAACTTTTGGCTTAAAGAAATTATCAATTCTAGATTGCTTCGCTTCTTTCTTCTTGCTATCATACAGGTCTTGGTAACACTGATAGGCTGCACAAATTTTGTTATTAACATTAAAACTTCATGGCATTCTCCAAATTTGCAAAGGCTACGGAAAGTTTTTTTAGTGTAAGTTGTTTTTCAGAGTTACTAATAGAAAAAGCTATTTCTTGTGACTCGATTGCTTCCTCTTGTACTTGTGCATCCAATTCAATGAGATCTTCATCAATCATTTCTTGATAATGTGGGCATAACAGATCATCAATATCATCAGCAGTAACTGCAATGTCAGGCAAACGGTTAGCCAAATGAACAATGTCAGTTATGATATCATCGATATTTGGTTGATCTGTAGAAACCCATGAAGCAGCAATATTTTTTACGCATTACATTATAACTTTTCCAAAAATCTCTCAAACCTATGCCATCTTTTTCATTAGCCTTTACAGCCTATGAAAAAGTTCTCCTGAGATAATAGGCCTTAAAAGACGCTATAACTCCTTGATCCATCGGCTGTAACAACGAAGTGGTGTTTGGAGGCAGGAACAAACCTTTGATTTAAGGATCGATATCGACAATACGTACAGGATGGCCGGCATGATTGTCCAAAATAGGTAAAGCTTTATAAGCCATTGATTGTTTAAACAGTACTGTTTCACTTCAGGTATAAAATGCCATTCTTTAAAAAGTATTGATGTAACCCATGCCTTTGGAATAGCCTTCCATATAACTGGAAGAGTACTCTTCACGTAATTTTTAAGAGCTCGAGGAATTTCAGATCTATAAACTAAAAGGGTTTCAATTTAAGATCACCTTCAACATTCGAACCCAATAACAACGTCAAACGATCTTTAGCCGCTTTAAACCACTTTTTCTTCCTGTGATATAAAAGTACGAGAAGGCATTTTGTTTTCAAAATAAACCAGTTTCGTTCACGTTAAAAATTTGTTTAGGCGAATAGTCTCCACATTCGAAAATTTCCTTTAATATTTCAGGAAAACTCTGAGCAGCTACATGATCGGCACTAGCAGCTTCTCCTTGCACTCAAATGTTATGTAACGAATATCTCGTTTTAAAGCGCATGAGCCATCCGCGACTGGCAGAAAAATATTTTGTTTCTTAACTATTATTCTCGCCACGTTTATTTTGCAGTGTGTTAATGATACTCAGCGCCTTATTTTGAATAATAGCCAAACTGAGAGGAACCCTTCGCTGAGTTTAATTTTGAATCCAAGTGTACAAGAGTTTTTTCATTTCATAAATTCAAGCATTCCTTTTTCTTATAATAGTGCTGTTTAAAAAGACAGAAGGTAGAGCTGTTAGGAGTTTTTCTTTATCTTTCAATATTGTTTGTACGGTCGTGCGTGATAAATTAAGTTCTAGTCCAATAGATGAAGTCGGACAACCGCGATCATTGAGTTTTAAAATCTTAGATTTAACCTCCATTGTAATTGTCTTTCTCACTCTTTTCTTCACTTTACTATTACTGTCTTGTTTAGGTGGCATAATTAGATTAAGATTCACTTAAATACGTATGTAAAAACAAAAACTGTCAAAGATGCAAAAAAACTAATGTATTACGTCTTGATTGTCCGTTGTCCCTGAACTAATTAAACAAAATCAGCAGCATGTGCGGGGAAATCCCCGCTCGCCGATACCGCGCCCCGCCGATACCACGGACATTGACCTCGCGGCAAGTGAATTTTGCTACGCCGGAAATCAAAACAATTGACATATGCTTGAGAAATTGTGTCAAAGCATTGTTAGACGTAACTTTAAACTACGTAAATCGAAACGGTGTAAGTCCAGGACTGCCTGTATATCTCATTATCGCAAGACGTGCATTACAAATATTTAGAGTGCTTTTTTCTGTAATCTCATATTGAACATAAAGAATAATAATAGAACAGTTGAACTGGATTAGATATTTTAGCCAGAATGTATTTAACGTTGAAATGATGAACTTATTAGCGAAAAATGTATAAATAGGCATCACGATTAACAATGAATTCATTTCATTAAAATAAAATATTTAACATCAAAAGTATTTGACGATACCAAGTTGTAAAATAACATTTTATTTCTGATTTAATTTTCAATTACATAATTGTTAATAACAAGTTGCTTAGAAGTTGATCATCTAAATGAAACACAATTAACAATGTTGAAATATTTCCCGTTTAATTGTTATTTAAAAAGTGATAATAATACTTGGAATAATTCAGGCTGACTTGATCGACCTGGCATTCATCAACAAGAACACAAGCAACTGGCCAATTCACTTTGAGTTTCATCTGGTCCTTGAAAAGAATTCATCCTTATTTTACTACTATTCCATTCACAAGTACAAGAGAGATGGTTACACTGCCGGTCAGCTAAGATGGGCGATAAGGGCCAATGCAGACCCATTCAAGTACTATAGCGTAGAAAGAAAAAGGTCAGGACCTATGCCCACCCAGCAAGCCATTGACTCGGCGCGGTCTGTACAGGACTGGACCTATATGTTTCCAGACGGATCGGTTTATTCAAAATATCAGCAAATATCGGCTAATGAAGGCATTAACTCCGTTTTCGGTATTTATGGCGATAGCATTGGGCTATCTGTACTACAGACACGCAAAGAGTGGGTCAGTGGCGGACCATTTAAACAGGTTAGCTATCATTGAATTAGAAATCATAATCATCATCATCATCTTAAGGTCGTCAGTCCTAAGGCTGGTAAGAAACGCACCTTCACTCTTTCCTATCCTGAGCGAATCTTCGCATTTCCCTAAAACTGGAACATTCCACATCCTTAGCTATTTGCGAACAGTAATCTAATCTAGGTCTACCTCTACTCTTAACTCCTGTTTCTGCCTCTAAAATGTCCGTGACTAGACCTTCGTGCCTGAGAAGGTGTCCTACCAACCTATCCCGCCTATTTTTTATTGATTTCCATAGAGTCCTCTGTTCTCTTACTCTTTCTAATGCCTCTTCATTTCTAACCGTCTCTACCCACGGTATCCTCATCATCCCGCTCTAACACCACGTTTCGAACGTTTCTAACCTTTCCTTTTCCGCCGCACCCACTGTCCATGTTTTGTACCAGTACAATGCCGCGCTCCAAACATCCACCTCTGGCAATCCTTTAAATTAACTGTTTGCGAACATAGAGCTGACTTCTTCTTATTGAAGGCGACTCTACCCTGCGCTATACTCTGCTATATCCCTACTACTCTTTTCGTCCTTTCTAGATACCTAAAATCAATCATTTCATTCAATTTTAAGGTGTCCTGCTAACCTATCTCGCCTATTTCTTGTTGACTTCCATAGAAACCTCTGTTCTCTTGTTCATTCCAATACCTCTTCACATGTAAACTTCTCTATCCACGGTATCCTCAGCGTCGTGCTCCAAACATACACCTTTAACAATCTTTTTCGAATTTTTAAATTAATCGTTCGCAAGCATAAAGCTGACTTCTTTTTATTGAAGGCGACTCGACCCTGCACTATCCTCTGCTTTATATCTCTACTACTCCTCCCGTCCTGACTTATCTGACTTCCTAGACATCTAAAATCGGCCACTTCTTCTAACTTATCATCTCCTATTTTGATTTTCGCTCTTTTCCTACTTTTTCTTCCCTTCTATGTCAGTATTTTTGTTGTACTGTCATTGATGATGTTGATCGCGTCTTCGATGTATAGATTAAAAAGTAGCGGTGACAGTATGCATCCTTGTCTGACTTCCCTTCTAATATTTACCCCTCTACGTTGCTGCTTCAGCTATATAACTGCCTGTTGCTCTTTATACAAACTAAGTATCCCTTTTCCTTTTCTGTAACTCTTTCCTACATTTTTAAGTACATTTAATATCTTGTCCCATTTAACATTTTCAAAAGCTTTTTCTAAAAGTACAAATCCTATGTGCGCACTCTTTCCTTTTTCTATCCTTTTCTCTATTATTACTCGTAAAGCTAGGAATCATAATAAAAATTTATAAACTAAATTTATTGATATTGAAATTGAAATTTTATCTCAAAATATCTCCAACAAGTAAGAAAAAAAGATATTGGTTTTATTTTGCTTATAATTAAATAATAGATTTAACGTAACGTAATAATATTTTATGCATTACAATGTTTGCACAATTTCCTTATATATCCCAAACACATTTTCTTTGAAGAATAATTTCTACATGTCTTCCTTATTCTCTTCCTGACGAACCTCTAATTTTTCTTTCATTTGTAGAATGTGTCGTATATTCTTGTGTATTTCTTGAAAAATGCGTAGGTTGCTAAAACGGCGTTTCAATTCTGACGTAATCAACTGCATTGCTAATTGACTTGTGAAATTTTAGGCGTTTATAAGTAAGAAATGTTATTTAATAAAACGCACAATTATCTATAAAGGTATAATTTTATAAAAGNTATTTTTTTTCTTTTTAAGTAATACTATAATGCTAAATATGCTTTTGAAAAGTAACATGCCCTTGTCTTATTCATAGATCAACTTTTTACAAGCTTTTATTACCAAATTACTGGTTAAAGATTATTATGCGGCAAAGCATCGTCTTATGCGAAAATGTATTCATATTACAGATTTAACCAATATAATGAATCCATAATGATAAAAGTAGCCGAACAGATACTACAACCAACATGCCCTTTTCATTTCATTGGAGTAAATTATGCCAGTCTCGTTTTAATAAGAAAGAGCTAGTCAAGATGTAAAAGTATCGAAATGTTTTATTGTATTGTTCTTAAAAAAATGAAACCTTTCCTCAGGTGACTAAAATTTAAAACGATGGTAAAATATGTCAATAATAATCTAATTACTGCCTACAAGACTATGGTGAATACTAATTTTTATACTCCCTCTAACTGCACCTTTAGCCGGTTCAACTGCAGCATGACAACAAAATCAGCATTATCGTTATTTAGATAATGTCAAGTGTTTCTTAATTAAACGAGTACTATCAAATTAATCAATCTTCATATTTAGGACATAAATACATTGAAGATCCAATTCTCAATAGTTATTCTGCCGAAAATGTCTACTAAATACCTAGTAGCGACTTTGGCTTTACTGCTTCTTCATAGTTCATCGGGTAAGCTATTTAAATATGCTATTATGGCGAGAATGTCAATTTTTAAGGTCAGAATTTGAGCAAACAAATTGTATGAGAATCTTATTTCCGATGTGAGCTTGTTGCATTTAAGCTGAGTCGCCATACTGCTTGACAACCTTAGTCGTGTATTTGTTCATTTATTATTTTGCAATGTATGAAACCCAGTTACATAGTCACTACGATTTCGTTTATTACTGTTGTAAATATGAGATGAGATGAAGGTGTTTCAAATTACAAAACATTTCGGTTTAAATAAAGGTAGCTAGTTACGTATAGTCGCTTAAGTTAAATTTGGCTAGTTTTGGATTATAAGGTCGAAATTGTAAATCTTAGTTTATTTATTACTAGCACAATTAATCTACTAACCTATAGGGGAGAGAGGGGCATAATGGGGACGTTACGAAAATACACAGTAAAATAATAAACGCAATGTATTTATTAATTAAAATTAATCACAACTCTTTGGTTACTTATTAATCATCATTTGACATAAAATTTAGTGACATAAATAATCATATGACTATATAATTTTAATTTTTTTAAACTATAATAAAAACCCCATCGTGCCCCAGGGTAGGGGTAGTATGGGGTACCTATTTATTTTGCGTCACAGTAGAAGCAGATGTGGATTTCTTCTGTATTGGCGTCGTCTGCACCGCCACAAGCTGTATGAGTAAGTAATTTATCAGCAAAAACAAAATAAATATATGATAATAGCGACATCAACACTTACCTTTTTATAAGCGTATTCATAGTCACTCAAAATTACATAAAATTTTTTTTTTGCAAATCAAACGCGCGCAGTGTAGCCGCCGATCACTGTCAAACTAAAGATAGATACAATATGGCTACCTATTAGCGAAAACAAAACACATCTAGAGCGTGTAGTTTTTTATAAGTATGGGTGGACCCGTCGTGCCTCGCGTCCCCGTCATGCTCCCCTCTCTCCTATGTCTACCACAAGGAAGAGAAAGGTACGTTTATCTTGCTCTTCCCCTAATTGCAGGTAACGAACATTGCGGTAATTTATCTCTTTTATTACTATTGTTGCAGTTTTAATTTTATATTTTATTTCTATCGCTCAGTATTATTCACTAACTTTGAATATAATTTAGTTTATAACATTAAAGGAATACCTACATACAAAATTACAAGAAATAGTTTTATAGAATGTCATCCAAATAGTGCCCCTCATATAATTACAATGTCAGCATAACTACAATGGATAGGGTCAATATAAGCGGTCGCACTCGCCCTCATTTAATTTTATGACATTCTGTCCATATTTCGCAGGTTCTGGGAATTCAATTGCTTAAGGCAGGGTATTGTCCGGTTGGGTTTTTGTCCATACTTGTTTCTGCGAACTCTTTGTCGCATAATTTTAGGTTAGGTTTTGTCCTTCAACTTATCCGATTACGTTTTTGTTACTTCATTATACATTAGTTATTATCCGTTCATTTTTAAAAGTTAGTAAATTGTTGTAAATAAAGTTTTTGGACATAGTGTTTATATTGAAGTTTTATTCACTACTGCAAAAACCGTTGAGAAAACACTGGTCGTGAAGTCACGGCAACCAACTATACTATCAATTTTTTCGTGAATCTTGAATAAATTACAGTGGAGTTGATAAGTTTTACTGATATCTAATACGATTTTTAAGCAAATCAACAAAGTTACTTCTTTTCATTGAATATTTAAGTAACATAATTACAATATACATGCCGAAAATGTCAAACGTTAGAGTACAATAAATGAAGATTTTGAAAGTTATTCATAGAAAAAAATATAAACAATATAAAGAAAATGTAGGAGTTTACTACTCAACTTCTTCAGAATCCCTTGAATCGTCGTTAGTTTCTATTATAAAGGGTTCATATTCAAACAGAATTACTTTTTTTATAAACTTTTAATTAGATTAATAGTGTTTACTTTTATTCACCTTATTAAAAATCATATCAAATATGTAAAATGTGCAAAACTTGTCAACACCACTGTAATTTATTCAAGATTGATGAAGCAATTACTGATATAGTAATAAAAAAGATATCAAACTCTACAGCTATTTAAATAGAGAGAAAGACGCACGCACATTAACAGTGTCCGATATCTGCCACTAGCCGGGAAAGATGAGTGCATCTTTCTCTTCCTTATGGTAGGTAAACGGATTAGTAAATTTATTGTTCCATCAGTAAATAATAAAGTAAAAGGTTTACGATTTTAACGTTGTAATCCAAAACCGGCAAAATTACACTCAAGGGACTATAGATACGAAAATTATTCTTAATCTTGGTCTATATGTAAATTAATTGATTTTCGTTATGACAGTCAGAACTAAACAAATCGACTGTGATTTCCATTCGGTAGTTTATGAACTATAAAAGGTTTTTCTACTTTTTCTTAATAATGTTGCATTTAACTGAATCAATCCATTGCCAAGGTCAAGAATGCAACAAACAATCGTTCCAACGCCTATGTGTCACCGACGGCGATGATGTAGTACTCGAAAACGAAAGGCTATCAATGACTATTAAAAAAGCAGAGGGTCAGATCACTGCACTTTATTATAATTCTCGTGTTGATACTAATATAAAATCAACCAACCTACTGAGAGGCGGTTCTGGCTATTACATTGCCGTTATTAGTGTTGACGGCAAGGGATTGACAACCGGGCCTGATGTGGGAGAAATGAAAATTACACGAAATGTGAGTACCGCCACTGAAATGTAAGATACAAAGCTTTACAGAATGTTAAATGATCGAAAATATATTTTACTTTCTGTAGCGATATGCCCCTTCCAATGTCTTGGATGCGCGCTGGCAAAATCGTAGGTAGGGAGAAAAAAGCTTATTATACTCTCGACTCTTGTTCATTAAACATACTTTTTCATACAGTACCTGCCAAAAGTTTTATTCAATTATGAATAGTAGTACGAGTCGAATATAAGCGTTAAAGCCTTTTTTCTGGCCTAGTGTTGTTCTTTTTTACTTTGCGCCGGTCAAACTGAAGGTCACATCGCTACAGAAAGTAAACGAAGTATACCTTTTTCTAACAATCTCTCAATTTAGGTTAAAGTTTTGTAGGATTTTTGTAATTAATAAATGAATATGTACACAGTTTACAAACGTCCTTCTACCCCGACTTCTTAATCGACTCTAGCTTTCCTTGCCGAAAAGGGCCCTTGCTTCTTTCACCCTTTGCTGCAACAAAGGGACCAACGGCTTATCTACTACATTCCCTTTCTTTCATACTTAACTCCTACGACTATACTTACTATTCCTAAATGTAAACTAAGAAATTACTATACCGAGTGTTCTTAAGATATTCCCGATACTGCAGCTTATGGTAATTTTCTGAATTTGAGAATGTGAAGTTTGTAGTTCTTAAATCGATGATTTAACTTTCCACATAATGAGATACAGGCGGTCCTTGTACTTACGGCATGTTAGGTTCTCGAAATACGCGACGTAAATCGAAACGATGTAAGTCGAAACATATTTTTTCATATGTTTACATGTAAAACTCAAGGGTTAGGTTCCACACGGACTCGAAATAATAAAAAAAACTGCATTTATAACAAAGGACGTACTTTATTATTAAAAGTAAGTTCTTAAAATAATTATATATTATGCACTTATGAAATTGCTAGTTATTTTTGGTATTTGTGTTATTAATTTTAATAATAATTATAAAACTTATACATATGTAATGATAAATAATAAATTAAACTTTTGGCTTAAAGAAACTATCAATTCTAGATTGCTTGGCTTCTTTCTTCTTGCTATCATACAGATCTTGGTAACAGTGATAGGCTGCACAAATTTTGTTATTAACGTTAAAACTTCTCTCAAAATTAGGATCATTTTCTTCAAAAATTTTCATGGCATTCTTCAAATTTGCAAAGGCTACGGAAAGCTTTTTTAGTGTAAGTTCTTTTTCAGAGTCACTAATAGAAGAAGCTATTTCTTGTGACTCGAGTGCTTCCTTTTGTACTTGTGCCTCCAATTCAATAAGATCTTCATCAGTCAGTTCTTGCGAATGTGAGCTTAACAGATCATCAATATCATCAGTAGTAACTGCAATGTCAGGCAAACGGTTAGCCAAATGAACAATGTCAGTTATGATATCATCGATATTTGGTTGATCTGTAGAAACCCATGAAGCAGCAATATTTTTTACGCATTACATTATAACTTTTCCAAAAATCTCTCAAACCTATGCCATCTTTTTCATTAGCCTTTACAGCCTATGAAAAAGTTCTCCTGAGATAATAGGCCTTAAAAGACGCTATAACTCCTTGATCCATCGGCTGTAACAACGAAGTGGTGTTTGGAGGCAGGAACAAACCTTTGATTTAAGGATCGATATCGACAATACGTACAGGATGGCCGGCATGATTGTCCAAAATAGGTAAAGCTTTATAAGCCATTGATTGTTTAAACAGTACTGTTTCACTTCAGGTATAAAATGCCATTCTTTAAAAAGTATTGATGTAACCCATGCCTTTGGAATAGCCTTCCATATAACTGGAAGAGTACTCTTCACGTAATTTTTAAGAGCTCGAGGAATTTCAGATCTATAAACTAAAAGGGTTTCAATTTAAGATCACCTTCAACATTCGAACCCAATAACAACGTCAAACGATCTTTAGCCGCTTTAAACCACTTTTTCTTCCTGTGATATAAAAGTACGAGAAGGCATTTTGTTTTCAAAATAAACCAGTTTCGTTCACGTTAAAAATTTGTTTAGGCGAATAGTCTCCACATTCGAAAATTTCCTTTAATATTTCAGGAAAACTCTGAGCAGCTACATGATCGGCACTAGCAGCTTCTCCTTGCACTCAAATGTTATGTAACGAATATCTCGTTTTAAAGCGCATGAGCCATCCGCGACTGGCAGAAAAATATTTTGTTTCTTAACTATTATTCTCGCCACGTTTATTTTGCAGTGTGTTAATGATACTCAGCGCCTTATTTTGAATAATAGCCAAACTGAGAGGAACCCTTCGCTGAGTTTAATTTTGAATCCAAGTGTACAAGAGTTTTTTCATTTCATAAATTCAAGCATTCCTTTTTCTTATAATAGTGCTGTTTAAAAAGACAGAAGGTAGAGCTGTTAGGAGTTTTTCTTTATCTTTCAATATTGTTTGTACGGTCGTGCGTGATAAATTAAGTTCTAGTCCAATAGATGAAGTCGGACAACCGCGATCATTGAGTTTTAAAATCTTAGATTTAACCTCCATTGTAATTGTCTTTCTCACTCTTTTCTTCACTTTACTATTACTGTCTTGTTTAGGTGGCATAATTAGATTAAGATTCACTTAAATACGTATGTAAAAACAAAAACTGTCAAAGATGCAAAAAAACTAATGTATTACGTCTTGATTGTCCGTTGTCCCTGAACTAATTAAACAAAATCAGCAGCATGTGCGGGGAAATCCCCGCTCGCCGATACCGCGCCCCGCCGATACCACGGACATTGACCTCGCGGCAAGTGAATTTTGCTACGCCGGAAATCAAAACAATTGACATATGCTTGAGAAATTGTGTCAAAGCATTGTTAGACGTAACTTTAAACTACGTAAATCGAAACGGTGTAAGTCCAGGACTGCCTGTATATCTCATTATCGCAAGACGTGCATTACAAATATTTAGAGTGCTTTTTTCTGTAATCTCATATTGAACATAAAGAATAATAATAGAACAGTTGAACTGGATTAGATATTTTAGCCAGAATGTATTTAACGTTGAAATGATGAACTTATTAGCGAAAAATGTATAAATAGGCATCACGATTAACAATGAATTCATTTCATTAAAATAAAATATTTAACATCAAAAGTATTTGACGATACCAAGTTGTAAAATAACATTTTATTTCTGATTTAATTTTCAATTACATAATTGTTAATAACAAGTTGCTTAGAAGTTGATCATCTAAATGAAACACAATTAACAATGTTGAAATATTTCCCGTTTAATTGTTATTTAAAAAGTGATAATAATACTTGGAATAATTCAGGCTGACTTGATCGACCTGGCATTCATCAACAAGAACACAAGCAACTGGCCAATTCACTTTGAGTTTCATCTGGTCCTTGAAAAGAATTCATCCTTATTTTACTACTATTCCATTCACAAGTACAAGAGAGATGGTTACACTGCCGGTCAGCTAAGATGGGCGATAAGGGCCAATGCAGACCCATTCAAGTACTATAGCGTAGAAAGAAAAAGGTCAGGACCTATGCCCACCCAGCAAGCCATTGACTCGGCGCGGTCTGTACAGGACTGGACCTATATGTTTCCAGACGGATCGGTTTATTCAAAATATCAGCAAATATCGGCTAATGAAGGCATTAACTCCGTTTTCGGTATTTATGGCGATAGCATTGGGCTATCTGTACTACAGACACGCAAAGAGTGGGTCAGTGGCGGACCATTTAAACAGGTTAGCTATCATTGAATTAGAAATCATAATCATCATCATCATCTTAAGGTCGTCAGTCCTAAGGCTGGTAAGAAACGCACCTTCACTCTTTCCTATCCTGAGCGAATCTTCGCATTTCCCTAAAACTGGAACATTCCACATCCTTAGCTATTTGCGAACAGTAATCTAATCTAGGTCTACCTCTACTCTTAACTCCTGTTTCTGCCTCTAAAATGTCCGTGACTAGACCTTCGTGCCTGAGAAGGTGTCCTACCAACCTATCCCGCCTATTTTTTATTGATTTCCATAGAGTCCTCTGTTCTCTTACTCTTTCTAATGCCTCTTCATTTCTAACCGTCTCTACCCACGGTATCCTCATCATCCCGCTCTAACACCACGTTTCGAACGTTTCTAACCTTTCCTTTTCCGCCGCACCCACTGTCCATGTTTTGTACCAGTACAATGCCGCGCTCCAAACATCCACCTCTGGCAATCCTTTAAATTAACTGTTTGCGAACATAGAGCTGACTTCTTCTTATTGAAGGCGACTCTACCCTGCGCTATACTCTGCTATATCCCTACTACTCTTTTCGTCCTTTCTAGATACCTAAAATCAATCATTTCATTCAATTTTAAGGTGTCCTGCTAACCTATCTCGCCTATTTCTTGTTGACTTCCATAGAAACCTCTGTTCTCTTGTTCATTCCAATACCTCTTCACATGTAAACTTCTCTATCCACGGTATCCTCAGCGTCGTGCTCCAAACATACACCTTTAACAATCTTTTTCGAATTTTTAAATTAATCGTTCGCAAGCATAAAGCTGACTTCTTTTTATTGAAGGCGACTCGACCCTGCACTATCCTCTGCTTTATATCTCTACTACTCCTCCCGTCCTGACTTATCTGACTTCCTAGACATCTAAAATCGGCCACTTCTTCTAACTTATCATCTCCTATTTTGATTTTCGCTCTTTTCCTACTTTTTCTTCCCTTCTATGTCAGTATTTTTGTTGTACTGTCATTGATGATGTTGATCGCGTCTTCGATGTATAGATTAAAAAGTAGCGGTGACAGTATGCATCCTTGTCTGACTTCCCTTCTAATATTTACCCCTCTACGTTGCTGCTTCAGCTATATAACTGCCTGTTGCTCTTTATACAAACTAAGTATCCCTTTTCCTTTTCTGTAACTCTTTCCTACATTTTTAAGTACATTTAATATCTTGTCCCATTTAACATTTTCAAAAGCTTTTTCTAAAAGTACAAATCCTATGTGCGCACTCTTTCCTTTTTCTATCCTTTTCTCTATTATTACTCGTAAAGCTAGGAATCATAATAAAAATTTATAAACTAAATTTATTGATATTGAAATTGAAATTTTATCTCAAAATATCTCCAACAAGTAAGAAAAAAAGATATTGGTTTTATTTTGCTTATAATTAAATAATAGATTTAACGTAACGTAATAATATTTTATGCATTACAATGTTTGCACAATTTCCTTATATATCCCAAACACATTTTCTTTGAAGAATAATTTCTACATGTCTTCCTTATTCTCTTCCTGACGAACCTCTAATTTTTCTTTCATTTGTAGAATGTGTCGTATATTCTTGTGTATTTCTTGAAAAATGCGTAGGTTGCTAAAACGGCGTTTCAATTCTGACGTAATCAACTGCATTGCTAATTGACTTGTGAAATTTTAGGCGTTTATAAGTAAGAAATGTTATTTAATAAAACGCACAATTATCTATAAAGGTATAATTTTATAAAAGACTCGCTCAGGTTGACAGGTTGGTTACGGATCTAGTCATTTGTCTTAGAACTGTAGAGGAACTAATTGTACTTTTGAAGATTAAGTATTAGCAAGACTGAAAAGGAGGAGTTAATTGTTAGAAAGAAAAATAAGGGAGGATCAAGAAGTGGTTAAACTAAGGTAGGGAACCAACCAGAAGGTGGTGAAATCTGGAATAATTTTTACTTAGAAATACAGCGAAAGAACAAAGACCAAAAAGTACCAAAGTTACCCATCATTAAAACGTAATTAAGAAGGAGTAATAATATTAGATGTCATACAGTTAGCAACTGAAACTGAAATGTTATTAGGGATTATTGGAAAGTACAGGTTTAGTGAAGTATAGAAATGTGAACAAACGAAATTACTTTAGAGTATAGAATGGTAATAAAAAAAACAAAAAGTAGGAATGTTGTAGTAAGAATGTACATATTAGTGAGTAACCAGAATTGGCAAATTTACTTGAGCATATTGAAAAGGATTATTAACAAAATAAAGATATATACAGAAACACCAAATTTAACATTACACGAATACAAAAATATATACAAAATTTAACCAAAATGCTATGAAAGGTAATATCGCCACGAATTGTATCGAGAAATTGCAGTGCTATCTCGGAAAGAATTTTGAATAAGACTGGCATCATTGCTACAATATCAACCATTCTGTAAAATAGGGCCATTGGTCAACGGCGAGTCCTCCTACTATATGTGTAAACGGTACATTTTTAATCAATTGCATTCACTGATCTTTTTGTCAAATTATAGTATGATATTATTTGTGCTTGCCCTGTTTCTGAATTCGTATCACAGCTTTATTTACTTTTTGAAGTGAAACTTCTATATAGACGGCGAGGTATTACGATTGTTTCTGTCACGAAAAAGCGTTACGGCCTCGTGGAAGGGGTATATTGCGAGGTGAGAGGCGCCAGCGGCGGAGGGAGAGGAAGGCTGGCGGCGGCGGCGAGAGGACAAGGGCTGTATTACTTGGATATAATGCGCAGCCGCGCGGAGAGCAGGTAGTCCCCGGCTGCGTGTGCTGTGCTCAGCTGTTGTTTTCTTACTTCTGTTCTCCACGTGGCTGGACATGATTGCCTCTATTTGCGGTCTGTGTTAAAACCAAATCATATTCAACAGACAAGTGGAAAATAGAATGGCAACGGACAAGTGGAAAGACGAATCGCAACAAAATTTTTACTTGGAGTTTTACGGGCTAGTTTTTAAATTGGACAAGTATGTTAACAATCTGCCAGTAAAACTTGAAGTAACAATTTTGTTGTGATTCGTTTTTCCACTTGACCTATCTCGCCTATTTCTTATTGACTTCCATAGAGTCTTCTGTTCTCCTATTCTTTCTAATACGTACTATAACTTTATTAAAACGCGAAATTTAAATTTTGTAAAAATATTAGTACACAACGAATAGAATTCCTGAAGCGCTGACTCTTCGTGTTTTTCCATTGGTTAAATGTTAATGGATAAAGAATAAACGTTAATAAGTATCCATTAATATTTTGTCGAAGCAATCTACATGGCACAACTGTTTTAGAGCCTAACAACACACACCGGTCAAATGCTGCTCTTTTGTGAACACACGGGACATTACGGCACACCAGACTTAGCGCCCACCAGGGGATGGAGCAAAGTGTATGGTCCCATCGGCTTGTACCTCAATGAAGGCCAAAGTCTTTCGGAAATGTATACCGACGCTCAGGTACAACTCAAGCGTGAGGAGCAGAAGTGGCCATACAAGTTTGTCACTGCACCAGAGTACAATGCAAAAGGTAGGCGCAGTGTGTCGGGGGTACTCCATGTGGATGGGTCGCCGAATGAAGACTGGGTCTACCTTATTCTGACGGAGCCTCATGTTGATGATCCCCAGTTAGAGACGGCCACTTACATGTATACTGCAATGGCTGGAAAAAATGGTTTTTTAATTTTTTACAATTATTGCTCTTATTTTCAAACATCATTTTATGTTATTAAGGTTTTAACTTTGACATTTGATTATAAACTACTAATTTGTCCAACGTGTCATTCAGAACCACATTGATTTAAAAATTTTGAACTTCGTTTTCAAATACTCACCAGAAAGAATTTCCTATTTTTGACCAAACAAATTATTAATGTATTTTCCTAAACATAATAAAAACTGTCATTATCATTAGGTGGATTTGAAATCCCAGCTGTGAGACCAGGCGCATACAAACTGCAAGTAATAGCAAGGGGTGTGGTTGGAAAGTACGTTCAAAAAAATATTAATGTGCAAAGCAATAGGGACCACGATCTTGGCACTATCAATTGGAGGCCGGAAAGCCATGGCAAGCTACTGTGGCAGATCGGTGTACCGGATAGAAGTTCGGCAGAGTTTAAATCGCCACGTGGCTTTCCATCACCTATCCCTAATTTAGAAGGTACTCCATTATTTAACAAAGTGATTGACTAGTCAAGTGAGATTTACAAAAATAAAGTAACGATAGCAGATAAAAGCGTGTAGAGGTTTTCTCGTACAATGATTGGTATATGAATTCCTTTCCGGCAGTCGTTGATATATTTTGCACTTGACCCTTTGAAAAGTATGGCCCTCTTGTAAAATCTTTTGTATTACCAATTTGTCAGCCTGGTACAACAATCGTTAGATTGGCTGCTTGAGTAACTAAGTGACAAACATTAAAGTGACACAAAACATACCTAATTCAAGAATCCAGTACTTGACTTTTAAAAGGTTACCTAAGTGTTAAGTTACACTAAAGTTTCCGTGAACTCGAAAGATTTTTGGGCACGCAAGAACACTTTTCTCTTTAGTCTCCGTATAATGTCAACAACCCAATTTTAATAGTAAAATTGTGTTAAACCTTCTGTAAAAGTGTTAGACACTGCTAATTGGAAACTTAAACCCAGATTACCACATATATATTTTTTAATAAGTAAAGTAATTCAATTTTAAAACCTTTAAATGATGATTTTCTTAGAATACCGCAAGTTTGGAACATGGCTCAGATACTCCATAGAATTTCCTAATGATCCAGACTACACAGTTGGCGTTAGTGACCCTGCTAAAGACTGGTGCTATTTTATGCCCATGATTAAGACACCTGGCTTCCCCGCTCAGCTCGGATTGGTCAATGTCACTCAAGATACACGTGCCACCAACTGGAAGGTCAGATTCAATTATAACGGTTCAACCCAAGGAAACGCCACATTAACCCTAGGTTTTGCCGCTAGAGTTAAAGCTGGTATTCGTGCGGTGATCAACGGCCAGGAGATTCTTAAATTGGACTCTTTTGATGGACCGCAAGCTGATTCTGCGCTTTTTCGTCAAGCAGCTCATGGCATATTCCATCAGCAAACTGTAACATTCAGTCAGTCACTGCTAAAAAATAAGAATCTTCTAGAATTCACACCTCCCGGCCCAGTAAGTCAGAATCATTTGGACAGAATACTGATGTGGGATTTCTTGAGACTGGAAGTCAGTAATTAATTGTGCTTGTATATACCATAAAAAAGTTTTATTGTTTCAGAAATATTAATAAACTGATCCCAAATTATTTGTTTTGATAAAGGCCATTAAAATCTGCTAGAATGATATTAGGCACGCGAAGGGATCACACAAATTATTCGTGAAGATCAGTCCTGGTTATCAACAAGGCAGTAATTTAGCTGTAAAACTTTTAAATTGCATTTATTAGAATTATATTTCTCTATTACTGATATGAAAAAATGGCTGAAGGTATTCTAACGAATTTTCCTATATGAATTCGTATTTTGTAAAAGATCATACATGCTGTGATGATTGCATGTAATACAAACTACCTATAATAGGTTACGTTAATAATTTAAAATGAATTTGAGCCGAGTACCGAGCAGTGTTCTGAGTGATCACTGCTTTAGGCTTTCAGTATATTTTTACAACTCGATTCATTCGTCATTACTCGCGTGTCATGGGACGTACGCAGTTCTACGTTATTCGTCTCTGTTTAAGACGCGCTAATGTTTGGATAAATTTTTTACTAATAATTTAATTGCTCTTATTACTTTTTACGCTTAATTGGTAGCTTTGGGTTTCAAGTGCTCGTAGCACAGAGTGAAAGGTTGCCTTCACTACCCCATTACGTTTTGTATAACTTTACGAAAATACTCAATACTTTGTACAAGAAAATACTATACAAAAAGTGATATGGCATACACATATCAAAATGTTTTATTAGTACAAAAAATACAAATTTTATGTTTATACAGAGTATAGTAGACCTCTGGAAGGAGGTGGTACAGTTTGGACGACAAGTTTCGTCTGCAGTTGCTGCGGATTTTTCGAGTTTTCTTTTGCTTTCGTTTAAATTCTCTTTGCATAAATACAATACCATCGATTGTAAGATGGCTTGTCTCATCTACGAACTGTAGAATCTCTTGTAGAAGTTGTAAATACAGAAGGAATCGAAAATATTAGGTCGTTAACAAACACGTCTTGCATTGCAGATGTAATAAGTAATTTTGATGACAGCATAGAATTGCTTGATCTCGTTCTATATTTTTCCGGCACAGTTGAAAACTTGAAGGAAGGTTTTAGAAACTTTATACACACGTCTATCATTAGATCCAATATTTGTATAGATAGTTTGAACAGTTTTTCTTTCGGTTGCTCGTTATCATCTGGCTAATTTTCCGTCAGATTTTTATTATATGCCTTAGTAATGTCAGCCCTCTTTCGACTAGTTTACAATCTATTGACTAAATACATTAAGATTACAACGTTAAAAGAACAAAAAACTACTCACTGCAGTTGGCTGTAACATAAACATCTTGAATTACTCTTGATCTAAGCTAGCAAACAATAAACAATAGGTACTTGATTATTACTATATTACCAGCCAATTGAATACGGCGTTGCATTGCCGGATTTCTCTCCAGAACCGGAATTAGTTTTGCCTGTAATTTCAACTACGTTTTTCTCGAAAACGGTGAATTTTCGTAGTTGTTTACTTAATTGTCTTGTTCTTATAGTGCCCTATCTCCTCTTTAAAGACTGTTACTTACATCACAAACACCCTCCATATTAGATCTATATCCACAACAGACATTTTTTGAACTGTGAAGTCATTAATAAAACCGGCAATATTTGTTAAATATTCACAAGAATATTGTTTTAAAATCAAAGTTAATTTTTTCTCATAATTTCAATAGTTAATTTTTAAATATATTGATGCACAAATTAGGCATTTTTTCAATACATTGCTTTTCACTACTTTGTTTATTAAATCTAAAATAAAGATATTTTGTAAAAGTACGATAAATCTTGCAGGCCGGAAAACTGGTGAGCCGCGGGTAGGCCACTCCTGGTCTAAAGTCTAAAATGTCTACTCTAGCTACAACAAAATTCGTTAAAATAGGAAAGGCGCTTTTAAAGTAATAAAATAAAAGGTCCAGTTATACTAGTATTTATTCCTATAATTTGATCTGTAGATTTAGAAAAGGCTTTTGACAATGTTAAATGGGACAAGACGTTAAATATACTCAAAAATGTATGGATGATTTACAGAGATTAAAGAGTAATACAACATACAACGAAGACGCGATCAACATCATTAAAGACAGTATTACTGTAGGGATATAGAGGGGCAAAAAATTAGTATGCTTAGATTTGCAGATGATATAGTAGTATCATCATCTAGCAAGGAGGAGTTAGAGATAGCTTTAAATAAAATGAAAGTGGTGTTGACAAAGCAGAGAGAAAAAATAAAGGCAAAACAAAAATACTGGTATGCAAGGGAAAAAAAGTAGGTAAAGAGTGAATATAAAGATAAGGGATAGATTAAAAACAATAGGAGAACAGAAGACTCTTTGGTAGTCAATACGAAATAGGCGAGATAGGTTGGTAAGATACCTTCTCAGGCATGGAGGGCTAGTCAGACACATATTAGAGTCAGAAACAGGAGTTAGGAGGAGTAGAGGTAGATCTGGATTAGATTACTGTTCATAAATAGTTAAGGATGTGGGATGTTCTAGTTTTAGGGAAATGCAAAGATTACCTCAGGGTAGGAAAGAGTGGAGGTACGTGTCCAACCAGTCTTAGGGCTGACGACCTTATGATGATGGTTCCTATAATAATCAGTACAGTTGAGGAAACATATCTTCTGCTTTTTGCCACGTGTGCGATTCGTAAAGATAATGTCAAAATAATTGATCAAAAGTAATAATAAATTAATATTTAAGAATACTTCACTGCACGTAGGTATCAAGACAAATGATACGTGACAGTGAGTACATTCTCTAAGTGTAAACAGTTAATTTGGAACGGTATCTATTATTGACAAGGTGAAGAAAAAAGTTGTAGAAAATATAAAACACTGTACACGTGTATAATCTGTATTAATATATATCACATTTCGAGATATATATTTTAACGTTATCTTTACGTATCGCACACGTAGCAGGTCATTATAGGAATGAGTGCTAGTAAAAATGGACCTTCTATTTTAATTCTTTAATGCAGCTTTCCAACTTTAATAACCTTTGTTATAGTAAAAGTACATATTCTACAGAATATGAAATCCTACAAATGACGCAGTAAACGCCATATGTAGTACAATGCTATATTTTGTGGAATTCAATATGCTCAACAAGGTCCATCTAATTAGATGGATATCGCGATCCGCGTCTGGCAGTTTCGACAGTATACTGACCATACCGAATTTCTTTGTTCTACAGAACAAGTAGCCAGCTTATAGGAGCGATGGGACACTATAAAAAAAGTAAATTTATGGTGGTTCGAAAGTCCACCGTTTTTGAACAAAACGTATTTGAAAGTACAGGCAAAGACCAATCCGGTCTTAGCAGGATCACACAAGGTAATAGGGTATTATTGCAACGCCGTATTCACTCAACTGCTACTTAACAGCATCAGTGTTGTTTAGACTCGATTAAGTATGATTAATAATGTTTTTGTTTACAGCCAGCCTAGAGTAGTTCTTTTAACGTTTTAGGCTTGTATTACGTATGTATGTAGTCTATCAAAGTTATTAGCAGTAGGTCAGTGTGTCAGTGTCATAGGTTAGTGCAGGCTAGTATTACTGCATTCATCAATGTGTATGTTTCCAGGCGAACATTTTCCTAATATGAACGGGTCCTGTATCATAACCAGCACTTAGTGCTGATGTAAATCCGTTTGATTTCTTTGTGTGGGGTTGTACGAAACAACGCGTGTATTCAAGGCCAGTGCAGAACGTATGTATATCATTATCATGACGTACTTACGGTTTTTTGAAACAAATTGGATTTGTTTTTAGTTCTGTTTCAAGGTAGATTATAAACACAGTACCTAAACGACGGGAGAGAGGATTGTCCGTTGCTGTGCCGTTTATTTGTTTGTGTGTTTTATTTCTGAATTAAGAAGCACTCTATGGCAGTTAAATTTATTAGTTCAATTATGTTTTTTCGGCTGGAATGGTTAATATCGAACGCCGGTCTTCTAAAAGTGATAAAGTGTGTTTAACCCTCTAACAAGACGTGAAGCAATAGTTTATACAAATATCAGTATCACATTTAAGACACATTGTTCAGATATTTGACCAACAACCATCACCAGCACACCACTTCCTTGTTTAGTCTACAGTTGATACCAATAAATTATCGATCGATCGGTGACCTTCCAGGCCCTTTCGGAATTGTTCTTTATTGTTCAAGATAATGCAGAACAATTTGTCTTCTGTAAGTAATAATGAGCAAAGCAAGACCAAGACCAAGACAAATTTTGCTTATCTGTAAGTCAGCTGACTTCGGAGATTATTTTTTATAAATTGGAGTCGGGAGGTTTCTGGAATCTCCGGACTAAAACTGGAGAGTTGGTAACTCTAGGAGACTCTCGTATAACTCCACGTTTAGCCGGTTGAACTGCAGCATGACGACAAGATCAACATTATCGTTTTTTAGATAATATTAAGTGGTTTTTATTTGAACTAATTACTATCAGATTAATTGATCTTCACATTCAAGACATAAATATATTGAAGATTCAATTCTCAATTGTCATTTTGTCGAAAATGCCAACCAAATTACTAATAGCGACTGTAGCTCTGCTACTTGCACATAGTTCGTCAGGTAAGCTATTTAAATGCTATTAAGGTGATAAAGTGAATCTTTTAAGGCCAGAATTTCAGCAAATAAATTGTGTGCATAGTTGACGTGTAGTCAAGTGATTCTTTGATCAATTTACATTAACGCATGTAAGTTTGCTTACATAACAAAATGTATCTTATTTTCGAAATAAGCTTATAATATTTAAGCTTTACTGCTTGAAAACATCACTCGTGTATTTAGTCATTTATTATTTTATTATTTATGAAACTCACTTGACCAGACAGTCACTTACGATTGCATTACTGTTGTAAATATCAGATGAGAGGAAGGTATTTCAAATTATAAAACGTTTCAGTTTAAAGGTATATAGGTACGAAAATATTTTCTAAATCTTATAAAATATAAGATGCTTCAACAAATAAATTATACTCCATAAGTAAATTAAATGATTTTCATTACGAGGGTCACAACTAAA